GAGGAAGTGTCAAGGGAGAGGGAAGTCTGGGTGTCCCTGCTCAGACTGTTGCCCCCGCGACCCGGCCCCGGATAAGCGGTTGAAGATGGATGGATGGATGGATGGATAAATCAACATTGTATGTTTTAGTAGTGTAGAAAGATGGCAGTACTGTGCATGTAGTATCGCAGAAATATTACTTGTTTTTTTATTGGCTGAGCATTGTTGTTTCCAGGTGACAGGTCTAGTGACAGACAGCGACGGTCAGGCTCACTACATCCTCTCTGGTACATGGGATGATAAGATGGAAAGTGCCAAGATCATTCACAGCAGCAGGGGGGGCAGTGTTTTAGAGGGCAAGCAGAAGACTGTCTATCAGACTCTGTCCCCCAAACTGCTGTGGAAAAAATACCCTTTACCATAAGCTCTTACCTCATCAGGAACACACTGAAATATCTAAGACATGGTTGTTGTATAAGAGCTGCAGTCCCAGGTCAATATTGATTGCATAAGTTCTGCTCTCACTGTCCTCTCACCTCTCACTGTCTCAGGGAAAATGCAGAGAATATGTACCATTTCTCTGCACTGGCTCTGACACTGAATGAGTCGGAGGAAGGAGTTGGACTGACAGACAGCCGTTTGAGACCAGATCAGCGACTGATGGAAGATGGACGATGGGACGAAGCCAACTCAGAAAAACAGAGACTAGAGGAGAAGCAGAGAGCAGCGAGAAGGAGGAGGGAAGCAGAGGTCTCGGATGCTACGGATGAAGGTAGGAAATAAGGAATATAACAATATTCAGGTTACTCACTAGCAATGGAGGCAACTCATGATAGTTGAGTAAATTCCAGAACTATATGAGCGGCCGTGCAATCATTGACTGCGTGAGAATATAAATAGTCCTGTCAATCAGGCCTGCAGCTTTAAGGGTACATGAGCCATAGTCTGACAGAAAGAGAGAAGGTGAAAAAAAGAAAGAGAGTGAAGACAGAACAGAAGATCAAATGGTGGGAACTAAGGAAAGATAAATGTTGTGAAGACTTCAGGAAGGACGTAAGGGCAGTTCTGGGCCGTGTTGAGGAACTCCCAGATGATTGGGAGACTACAGCTGCAGTGATAAGGTAGACAGGTAGGAAGGTGCTAGGATTGTCCTCTGGGCAGATGACTGGCATTAGTCGCAAGCATCAAATAGTGCTAAACCGAAGCAGAATTTACTGATACTGCTATTGCTGCAGAGCAGGAAGCTGCCATGTGCATTCATCAGTGGGTTGAAGAAAGGTGTCACCAAGTTTTTGCTGAGATTTCTCCAGGTTCATCCACACAGTGGAGCGTAACTGCAACTATGACCTCAGATAAACATGCAGGGTGGTGTCCCCAATGGCATTGTATTCAAGTATGAGAAGTACAGTAGAACAACTCAGTGTACATTTGACCAACTATTCTCCATTCCAATTTCTATCCACAATCCTTGGTTGGTTAAAGACAGAGAAGAAG